GCTGCTGGTCCAGATAATATCAGTGCTTTTGTCTTAAAAACATCTACAAGAGAACTGGCTCCGGGTTGGCAAGCAACCTAAGTAATCATGTCACAGGGAGTATCATGATTTTGTGACAATTGTGATGAACTCCTTAGCAGATTCTAGTTTAGCATCTTACTAAGGAAATAAAATTAGATTCATATCAGTTCATGTACAAACGCAGCAGTAGCACCAAAGATGCAGTGGTCACACTGGCCCATTCTATATCAAAACATCTGGGCAGACCATGCACACACGCCAAAGCACTTTTTGGGATTTTCATCTGCACTGAACACTATTCGACCTGACTTTTTACAGTCAAAAACTGTTAAATTAGATTTTAATCTTTATCTTATTCACTGATATAAGGATTTCCTTACTAACAGAACACAGCAAGTGAAAGTAAACAAAACACTATCACTGCCCATCATCAGTAATGTTGGCGCACCGCAAGAACGTGTCTTTCTCCGCTTCTGTTTACACTGTATATAAATAATTGTAAAGCACAGGAACTAAATACTTCTATTTTTAAATATTCAGATGACTCTACGTTGCTGTCTCTTTTGACAGATGATCATGATGATGACATTAATCTATTTAAACACGGTGTTGACTCTTAGACTGGTGCTACCAAAATACTCTAATCAATAAAACGAGGACAGATTTTTTCTGGACTCTCTCCTGATTCACGTCTACTTTCATTAGCAAATCATAATGAGGAAATTAAGCAGGTTATGTCCTAAAAATACCTTGGTGTCAGTGACGATTCTATGATATTTTTTAGATGGAGACATAATGGGGCCACAGTTCCTGTTCAACTAAGGCAAATAAATGCCTTCAAAGTCAAAGAGCTCCATAATTATTTCAAAATATCTTCAAGTACATTTGTATATATATTTCACACTATAGACATTATTCAGGGTACTTTACATTCAGCAGCAGACATGGTGAAATCTCTCATTTCACAACTACCAAATTGAAAAGACATGCAAACTCAAAGCAGCGAAAAATGGGTCCAGCGTTCAGAAACGAACCCCTTGTACAGGGTCCAGAGGCTTGATCCTCCAGAAAAAGCATCATGGTGCACTCTGAGAATAACATACAGGGAAACAAGTGATTGCTGTAGAAATGGGGTGCCCAATAAGGGCTGGAGCTAAACTCTGAAGGGTCCCTAGGATCAGCATTGGGTCCAAGATCACCCAGAATGCCCTCCTTTGTTACCTTAAATGAGGAATCAACATTGCTGAAGCTATTCTCTTCAGATCACCATTTACGCAGGTAATGCTGTCACCATTTCCATCTCTATCTGCTTATTAAGTCTGACACCACATGTGACATGATAGCCATTTCCGGGTCCAACCACTCCTTCAGATCCCAAAAGCAAACAACAATGACGGAACCTCTGAACCTTTTCGTGATCAGTGAGGCACCAGTGAAGATTAAAAAAGATCTAAAATCTTTCAACTCCAGTCTGCTTGTTAAGATGTCTGGGTCCAATCCTCTACTGCACTGGCTGAGGCTCTCCTTTTCAACATGCTGCCTTGCTGTGTCCCTTGTAGTTTGAATAAAGTCCAAAAAAATACTCAATAGTAATTCTACCACTTTCCTTGCAATAAGAAAGAGGAAATGGCTGCAGTTGATAAGGTAAGTTACAATTCTTAAATAAACGAAAAAAAACAAAGTTTGCCGCAAGCTGGCCTAGCTAACGTAAGCACCCAATGGCAGAAGCCAAATTGGCCCTTTGTGGACACCTTATGGGTCGTACAGGTTGTTTCTTGTTATGAATCCACATCTTTATGTTTCAGTTGATGGTACTTTATCTTTGCTATAGCTAGCTAGCTATCTTCATCAGGCCTTGTCTGACCAACAAGCCTATCAATCAAAACACAAAGATGTGGGTTCACAGCCAGAAACACCCTATAAAACCCATAGCCTATAACAAGGGCGTCCACAAAGGGCCAGTTTGGCTTTTGCCAGTGGGTGCTGATGTTAGCTAGGTCAGCCAACACAATAGAGTCTTATACGTCACATCTTACCAAGCGAACATGCTGTCATCAGTTGTGAAACACTATGAGGTACAGAACTATGACATTTTTACACCAACATATGAACACAGCACCCGAGCAAGGCCCAAGCAGCCTTTAGGACATGATCTCGGTCAGCCAGTGAACTGGAGAAACTTTAGCAGCATATCTCTTGATATTAATGTTGCTCCAGTGTGGTGTGATGGAAACCATCTATTTTTTTAGATCCTTCTTCACACACTCCTGTAGTTTTAATACTCATAGCACCATTATATCATGATAACCTGCAGTCAGAGTTGGAGTGGAATGAACAACTGGACCTGGACTTTGTTGGTACAGTCAAGCCCAACACAATAAACTGGACCAACTATCCTTGTACTGCACCTTCAGTGTACACTCAGTAGTCACTATATTAAAACCACCTAAATAAGTCCTGTATGACATTCCATATTGTTTGATATCAGTGTAGTGTTCTTTATAACACATCAATCAGTTTAGACTGCAGTCTTATTTAGCTCCACTCAACATGTGTCTGTAATAAAATAAAACACAAAACGTTTAGCTTTTTAGCTAAATACAGCAAGAAGACAAAAGAAAATAATTCTGTAAATGGCACCATTGCTTTTGTAACTCTTGGTTCTTTTTCCCAGTTAACTGAGTTTTGTTAATTGCTTTTGAATTTTAGGACGAATGAAAGAAGTGCATCCAATCACAGAAAATACTGCTTTACTTTTAACTAAACTACTGACACCTAGTGGTACAAATCTGGTACGACCAGTCTGGATGCATAATTACACTAAAGAACACAAAAGTCAGCTGATTTGATTGTGAGCTACACAGCTTCTCACTTTCAAAGCTGTAACTGCACAGTTTTCTGTTCTAGAATACTGGATTAATGGTTATAAACATAATGACTGATTAAAGTGCTTTCTAAGTTACTGTTAATGTTCAAGACCAAGGGCAGCATCACTGGTATTCCAGCTAAAACTTCAGCTAACAGTAAGTTTATTAGGCAATTTATTGTTAAACTGGAATGAATAAATCATGCATATTAAACAAATGTACTAAAAAAACAACACATTCTGTCTCTAACTAGACACATCGGTGTTTAGTTGGATACAACACATTCTGAGTTCGATGTGTTGAAATATTTTTGTGCCCACTTATGGATAACACATTTTATGTTACTTTTAGCACAGAATGTGTTCAATCAAAAAACAATATGACATAAGTGTTGTCATTCAACACAAATCACTTTTTAGAGTATACTAGCTTATTGGTGGACTGTTTTACAGATAAGGCAGTTTAGCTTCATTGCAATTGTGTATCTAACTTCATGTAACACCTAAAGCAAAAAGGCTTGATAACATGGCGGTCAAGAGGTTTACAGCTACCCTGACGTTAGCAGCTGAGGTGAAGCAGAGCAATATATCCACTTATGATGCTTACTGTTTTTATAGACGACACCAGTTTAATTAAACATGTGGCCAAGTTTTCTGGTTTATTAGTCTGGTTGATAAAACAAGGCTGATCTATTTGTGTCCAATTGAACAGCTTCTTTTTCTAATTTTTGGTGTACCTTAAATAGAGCAGCAATTACCCTTCGCTGCCTAAATGCACCCATCTGTTACAAAAATACAGTTTAAGGTGGAATTGAAGCTAATTTCAGCCTTGTTTCATAAACTGATAGCAGTGGCTGAAAGCCTTTATAGCCAGGTGAACGTCATATCGTACAGATTTCAGTTGATCTCAGAGATAACTTCTACAAAGTGAGCATCAGAGGTGGATGTGTTGCTCTGTCATCAACTCACCTGCTAATACACCACATTCATTTTGTAGAGATGTGCAGAATTAAGCTGGAAAAAGCCATTATTAACGCTAGCTAACGCTACATTCCCAAACCAAGCCCCATCTGCTGAGCTGGCTAAATGACCCAGCTCACTGTGTCGCACACATATACATATGATTTAAATAAAGCTTCTCATAAATCATCTAAATCTTTGTGTAAATGAAATGTCAACACTGATTTACCAAATGGCAAATTAAAATCACAGTAGTGAATGTGAATTTTCATTTTGAGCTCAATATTGCATAAATGAGTGGGAAATTTAAATGTAAACATTCAAATACATTGCCAATTTACATATTACATTTCCATTTTCATTTTTATACTGATTTGCTTCCATACTGCAGTCCCTCACTCTCTGAATGTTCATATAATGTGGTGATCTTTGCTGTTTTCCTTTCTCTAGTTCGGGTTATTGTTTGTCCTGCGTGTGTACTCTCCTCCAACCTTAAGCTTTCTTACGCTTACGTTTTGTTTTGATGGTCATTTCCAGCTGTAGATGTACTGCACTACTTTTATATGTTATATATAGTATATTTGCAGTAAGTCAGAATATTAACTCTCAGAATCACTGCACACTTAAAAATTATGGTTCTTTAAGGGTTCTTTAGTAAAGAAAATGGTTCTATGTAGAACCATGTCCACTCAAAGAGCCCTTTGCATGATTAAAGGGTTCTTTGCATTGTGAAAGTGTTCTTCAAACTGACTGAGAATGTACTGTAGATGGTTCTACATAGAACCTTTTTGAAAAAGGTTCTATATAGCAACAAAATGGTCCCTTTATTTTCACAATGCTAAACTTGTTACAATAGAAAAACCCTTTTAGGTGCTATATAGAACCCTTTTCAAAAAGGTCTTATACAGCATATTCTCCCTTTATCTGAGGAGCCCTTTCACGATGTTTCTTTGAGTGTTCATGGTTCTATATAGAACCATTTTCTTTACTAAAGAACCTTTCAAGAACCATCATTTTTATTTGTGTGTGTTTACACACAAATTCGTTTACATCATTTTAGCTGAACTTCACACGTACTTTATTCAGTCATGGTGTATTTAGTCATCATGTACACGTGGGATGAAGCTGATGTCAGTACTACATAATGACATACCTCAGAAATTCGCGCTTCCAGATAAAAATGATGGAGTTGAGTTTAACAGCTACAGGATTTCCCAAAAACGTGGTGCAGAAACAGGCCGATGTCGAAACCGAGAGAGAGAAAAAGAAAGAAAGATTACACAATAGATGGGAGAAGCAAAGGAGCAGTTTAAAAGCAAGTCCGGGTCAAACAGCCACGCAGTAAATCCAAAAACCAGCAAATAAAACCGAAAGTGGGAAAACAAAGACAAAATTCAGAGATGTCAAACACTGAGAACGCTGGGTAACACAAATCCTGAGGAAGGAAACTTCAGTGAAACTCAGCTGAGCTGTGAAGAAAACACTCTTAGCTGATGCGCGTGCACGACTCAGCCCGTCAGAGAGCTCTTAAAGGGCCAGGACGCGCTGTGTGACCGACTGTGTGTCTCTGCACTTAAACCCAAAAATGTGTTACCCATAACTAGGTATAGAAATAATCCAACACATCTTGTGTAACATAAAATCTGTTGTCTTCAACTGAACAAACTGGTGTGTCTAGTTAGAGTCAGAACACAGTTTCTGTAAGGTAACACAGTTACAGTTACCTTACCAAATAAAAGAAAATGACTGAACTCAGAGCTCTATGGCTGTGTCTGAAATACCCTGCTACATACTGCTCACGTACTGATTCTGCTCCAGAGTAGTAAGTAGTATGCATCATGTGACCAACATGAATTTCTCCAGTATGCCAACAGTACTCTGATGACATACTGCTCTGGCAGAATTTTTCCAGTGAGCTGCCAGAGCTATAGGTGATATACTGCGTCCCAAAATGCAGCGCGGCCATTATAGGAGTGTGTGTCAGGTGTGTTTGAAACACGTTTACCACATAGATGAACTCAAGGCTGACATTTCAAAATGTTTATGTAGCTTTGTTGACGGAAAGTCACACAATCACATCTTTTGACCAAAAATGTTAACATACACAGTGAAAAGTAGCTACCAAAAGTGGTGACTGGATGGTTGAGGAAAATGGGCGGGTCTTGAGAAGGTCTGATTGTCTCAGTCCCAGATGCTGGCAGGCCTGTTGCACCTCTTTTATGGCACACAGCTTGTGCTGTACACTGGATACTGAACTGTATAGTACTGATGAAGAGTAGCATGCAGTATTCAGTGTGATATACTGATGCAGTACAGTGTACAGTGCACAGTCTGCTATTTCAAATACAGCCTTAATTTACGGTTTATTCACAATATTTTACAAATGGTAATTGTTTTCACTGTTTGTTTTCATGTATTTTACAGCAGACTATTTTTAATTTTGAGTTGATGTCAGTCAGGAACATTACAGTGACTGTATTGGTAGTTTGTGTCATGTTCTCACCCCTTTGAGAGCTCCAACAATCATCATATACAGAATCAAGCACAAAACATTTAGCTTTTTGGCTACATTCAGCTAGAAATCAGAGTATTCCGTAAACAGCAACATCACTTTGGTAACTCCGGGGTTCTTATTCTCAGTTAATCGAACTTTGTTAATAATTTTAAACATAATGCAGTATTTTAGGATGAAAGAAGCACATACAATCACAGAAAATGCTCTTTTACTCACTCAGCCACTGAATTTAAACATGCTTCACAAATAATCCCCACTTCGATAAACTGAACTACTGACACCTAGTGGTGTAAATCAGGTATGATCAGTCTGTATACACAACTACACTGAAGAACACAAAAGTTAGCTTATTTGACTTTGAGCTCCACAGCGTCTCACTTTCAAAGCTGTAAGACCATGAACAGGTTCCTGGTCTGGAATGCTGGATTAACAGCTCGGTTAATAGAATGACTGACTTAAATGCTCTCTATGTTAAGTTTTCTATGTTAGCCAGCTTTCAAGATCAGGTGCAACCTCCCTCTAACATTCTAGATAAAAAATACTCTAACAGTAAGTTACACCAGGCACTTTATTGTTAGACTGGAATAAATAAATCAGGCATATCACTATCTTGTTAGTAGGTTGTTTTGGATGTGAAGCAAATATTAACCAACCTCACCAAAGTCAGCAGGTATTTTGCTTTTTCCTAGCTAGACAAATAGACAAGTACTTATTTATTACCCATTTAAAGTATTAGCCATTGTAAACCAGATGCTGTGCTTTTAGCATTTCTGCTGCTGCAGTTTTTCATTCTCTGAATGTTCAATGATTGTGGGGATTTTTGCTGTTCTCCTGTCTCTGGTTTTGTTTTTTTCTATGTGTGTACTCTCTAACTCTCATCAGTTTATGATCAGCTTATGTTCAGTTTAGTTTTGGTGGTTATTTCCAGTTGTGGATGTACTACATGCTACTTTCTGTAGCGTACGTTATTTATTGTAGACTGTAGCTGTGGTTTCCTGAGGAAGTTTGGCATCAGGTTTGTAGAGGACCAGACAGGAGTCTCTCTGCTTCTTGTACAGCCCAATTCAAGCCATTTATACACATTAAACCTTGACACTTTCCACAAAATCCTACACACATTTTATTTTATTTTTATTTGCAGTAAAAATTCATATGAACACTCCCTCACAAGAAAAGTAAATAGGAGCATCAAAGAACTGAATTATGAAAAAAGCTGAATTATTCACATTTTCTATTTCATGCTGATAAATGCTGACAACTGTAAATGCTGAAGTAGTAAAATCACCTTCTGTTCATCACAAAGATTCAAATGTGGGCAAGAAGAGAAAAAGTCACAAAAACAGAGACTGCCAACATAAAACACATATATATATATATATAATGCCACTTGTTTTTTTTTCACACAAACATTTCTTCTCTGAGAATAAAATGATAAGGCAGTTGTTCTGTTTCATTACAGCAGTATCAAAACAATAAACAGCCTACATGGTAAATAATTGAAATTAACAAATTAAACAGACTCAAACATCGAAATCTGAATTTAAACTAAGTTGTTTCCAAATTGTATGAACAGATGTTGAGATGATTGTTTATTTTCTGCCACACAGTTTCTGGGCCTACTAACCACAAAGCATTTCTGAGTAACATCTCACAAAGTGGTTTGTGTCTTGAATTGAATTATTGGAAATATAAAAACAGCTTTAAAATTAGGATGATGCTAAAGGCTAGTTTTCCCACGTGAGGGTGAAATAGCCCACTCTGGCAACACTGTTAGAGAGCGTATGGTGCTGAAAAGCCCCTACAGGTTCTGAATGGTAGTTTAAAAATCAAGACACTAAGATATTTACAGTAAATCAATCATACATTCAAATTAGACACATAAAAAAAGAAACCGTTACATTGATTTATCTTAACATTTATGGAAAACAAAATCAAACAGAACAGAATAACACCTCAGTAATGTTTGAACTAAATCTGCATGTGTCAAAATAAAAGAGTAATACTGGGAATGAAATAAGAAAAATACAGTAATGGAGGCATAGACCTTAAAAAAACAAAAACAAAACAAAAAAAAACGTGCATTTTCACTTAATGAAATATTACAAGTTGCCCCAGTTTAAATCTATTAAATACATTGCACTGCATCAAAAAATCTTTTCAAAATTCCACTTTTCACTGTGGAATAAAAAATAAATAATATACAATTAAGCAAAATGGATGTCAACTGAAATGAAGACAGAAAGGAATCAGATTATATATATGAATCATTCTACTGAACTGGTTCAGAGTTGAAAACACATTTTGGACTAACTGACCTGGAATTTAGACTAAAATAATTTTGCTTTGAGAAACCTTTAATTGGGTTTATTTTATTAAAATATATTATTGCACATTCCAGTTTGTCACTACCAAAACAATCATAACACTACCAAAAATTGACCAAATATAAACAATTGGCTAAAACTGTCACTACTAAAAGAGTATAAATACTACTGAATTTTACCATTTTATGCATACTTTAAAAATGCTAGCCAATCCTTGACTAACAAAGCTTTGAATAGTTGTACACCTCATAATATCATAATAACATCATAATATTTTTCATTAAAACACAAAAGAGTTTAGTTAATTGTAGAAAATATGTGTTTCGGTAGTGACAATTCTCAATGTCACTACAATGTTCCACACAGATTTTCAGACTTTGGGACACATTTCCTTCAAAATAATGGGATTTAACTGCTCACCATGTGGCCATGAGGGACAGCAGTGCAGTCTTTCGGCTCTAAAATGCAGGGGTGTGGTTACAGTAAGACTCCGCCTATGGACTAAAACTCAGTATTTTGAAAGTGACATGTAAATGTGGGACAAAAATGTACATGTAAAAAGTTATTTTATTGTAAAATATTAAACTCATGATAATAAATAAGATAAATATTTTAACTTTAAAATAAATTAAAAAGATTGTTAAAAAAACATTATTGAAAAAACAATAAAAGACAATGGAAAAACATTGAAAACGTTGAACAATTGAGAATTATTTTAACAAGTGTATATTTAGCAGTTAGGCTTTAGGACAGACACTTCCCAATAGAAGGTACCCTATAATGATGGTTTTGTATATATTCAGCTTATTCAGCTTATACTATTAATGGGTTTAAATAGATCATAACATAAACCTGGTAAGTAGTTATGGTTTGAATAATTAATTAATTAATTTTGTTTATTTATTTATTTTTTTACTGTGGGACAGTACATTCATTCGTTCATTTATAATCTAAGACGCTTATCCTCCTGGGTCGTAGGGGTGTTGGAGCCTATCCCAGCAGTCATTGGGCGGAAGGCAGGAAACACCCCAGACAGGTTGCCAGTCCATCACAGGGCAGACATAAAGACACATACCATCTCATACACACACCTAGGGGCAATTTATTAACTCCAACTGGCCTGGACTATAGGAAGAAACTGGAGTACCCCGAGGAAACTCGCACAGACAGGAGACAGGAGAACACAGAATCAATCCCAGGCTGGAACAGTACACTTTGAACTAATTCAGTAGAATAGTATGTATAATAAGTATGTATGAGAAGGAAATTAAATTTATTCAAATGAAAAACAGCATTTTGATAATTATTTGCGATTGAAGGTTCAGTCTGGAACTGAAAAAGCATCACAGCTGACTTATTATTAACACCACACCTACTGACAGCAAACACAATTGACCTTATTTTCAGATAAAAAAAGAAACAATAAACACACAGACAAATTGCTCCTCAGCTCACAGCTACATGCTCCAGCTTCTGTGACTGCTTATGTTTAATTCAGCTCATCAGATTCAGCTGTAAAAAACACAATAAAGAACATTTCAAATTAGCCTTTAATCAAATATAATGATTCAATTTCAGCCAAAATTAAAATGTCTCACTGAGACTAACAGTTGACTTGAGCTTTAAGCACACTGTGTTCTACATAAGCGCTCCTGAAATAGTGCACAGTGAGGTCTATATTGATATTTCTGAAATCATGTTCACTATATAGATTTTCCTGAAATGATCCACAGTGTGTTCCACGCAGGAGCTCCTGAAATCACCCACAATGTGTTCAAAGCTCCTGAAATTGTGTTGTGCATCTGTACACCTGCCATCCTGCCCAGTTAGACTAGACTAGTGAAAAAAAAATCTGAAAATCTGTTAGATTTATGTAATTGTGGACAGTGGTTCCACATGAACAGTTTGCATTAACTGAACTCTATGCGTTTGCATTCATCCAGTAAAAGTGAACAATACACAGTCCAGTTAAATATAGTCCATTTAGTCTGTTATTTCAATCTTAATTTTTCAGCCACATGATTTATTCATGTTTGTTGTACACAATCAGGTATTGTCAGAACTGTGTCATTGTCTTTATTCAACTTTATTTAGTTTGTGTTTGTTAAAAAAACAGTGTAGTTCAAATCAATTTATTCAAGGTTTCAAGTGAACACATGAAACAATTTCCCAGGTCCAGTCTGCAAGAGTTATAGGGTAAAACTAAAAAGCTTTCATAAAAGTGACAGAACTGAACTCATCTCACTCATGAAATTCAGCTTTAGAGCTTTGAGCTGTGTTAGTGCACACCAATTTTGACAGATCAAACTATGTATTTCATCAACAGCCTAACACACAGTACAACTACAACATTAAGTAGCTGAATTACTGAGTTAAAAGTCACATCAGTAAGACTTTTACACCAGGGGATTTCTCTCACTGAAGTCTTCAACCTGTACACGTTCTCCAACAGTCCATATACATTCAGATCTGTGGAAAGAATATTAGCTTTTGTTCAACTAAACACCTTTCACTACTCCTTATCCTTTGTTATGAAATCCAAATACAAGTGTTCACTTGAGACACATTCAACTCAACCCAGGCTAAAACAAACTTTGGCTTGAACGCATATAGAGATTCACTTTGTAACTACAGCTGATGTGGCCTGGGTAAACTAATGGGTTTTCTAGACATATAGTTCAATTAACTTACCCATAATACCAGGGCTATATGTGTACACTTAATTCACATGTGCAGGAATGAAACTTTACTTTAAGCAGCTTAAACTGAGTGTAATATTAATCTTTGAACTAAAACAAACTAGTTTTTGAATGTATCCTTGGTGAAAACTATAGAAACCACTGAGTGTTACTTTTGGCTTCTGATGGTTTTGTAATGTGTTTTGGCGTATGGTTTAACCGGTTAGCAGTGTGTGACGTGCTGCCCTTAATGAGAGCCAGCTGATGCTGATCTGGCTGGCAGCGTGAGCGCTTTTTAGAAAGTGCTGACAGGGAAAAGAGCGAGAAACGGACGAGCAGCAGCAACAAGAGACTGAGGACGGAGCTGAAAAGCTTGCTTTGAAAAGGACTGAAAAGTCTGTCTGAAGCCGTAGGTTTTGTTTTTATTGGTTCTGTTTGCTTTGCTTTATTTGGTGAGTAGATCAGCCACTGGTTGAAATATGAATGGGAACATTTATAATGCTCTACTTTTCTATCAGGACTTTGTTTACGTGGCACAATCGCGCTGTTCTGCTGCATAACCGTTCCACTGACCTGAAACTGTTGGACTGAAACTGAGGTGTAAATCTGCGGCTCTGCATAATTCAGTATAGTAATTTAGATAATATGACAAATATATTGAATTATTATGTGCTAAAAAAGATTTAAAATTTGGATTTATTATCATTTGATGGATGCATTCAGATTTTCCTCACAATGCTGTGCTTCTCTGAAGTAGCAAGTCCCCCTTTATATATTTCTCTTCCTTCCCTAAAGTTTCCAGGTTGATGTTAAACTCCATTGGACAGTCTATACTAAACCTGAATAATTCATTGTTACTACAGGTTTATTGATAGGGGTCCTGTACTTTGGGGGCTCTAGGGGCATGGTCCCTCGGGACAGTTTTTGGTCGCAAAATGTCTGTTCATTATAAATTTTTAAAGTAGGAAGAGCCAGAAAATGTATCAAAGATGGCTGATTTGGTCAAATTAGTTCTGAGCTAGTATGACAAAAACACCATATCCATCTACTTAGAACAGGCGCAGATCAAGCAAAGATACTGAAGTCAGGCAGTGCTCTCTCCTCTCTCTTAGATAAGCTGCAAGGTCCTAAATATATCATTTAAACACACAGGTTATAGATCAGTTCAGTCTCAGTTTACAATCAGAAAGAGTGTAATTTTGCTTTTCAGGCCTGTTTAACAAACTAGACAGAATTTCATGGTCATAGTGACAATCATATTTTCTCAGTTAAGTTCAATTAAATATAACATTCATTTTAATGGAAAGCTTAAACAACTCACACTCGCTTTCTTCTTGATCAATAACCTCCATCTAATCTGCTGCTTCAGTCTTGTCTGTCTCCTTCAGCTTCAGCTTTTTCTTCCTCTCCTCACCTGTGTGTAGTAATACATTCAGTTTATTAAACTCAGATTTACAAGAACTCAAGGAAATGATGAGAGATCAAACAATTATTATTATTATTATTATTATTATTATTAACTTGAAAAAAAATCTCCTCATCTGACTGGCTTTCGACTGAGCTGCCTCTTAATTTCCATCTACAGGTTGAAGAATTGAGGGATATAAAATTATGTTCTGATTAACACTATGAACTTTTCACTGACATTAACTTACTGTAAATGACAATATATGGCAAATACTGATGTCTGAATACTGAATAGAACAATAAACACAAAGAATATAAAGAGCTGTCCATAATGTTATTTCTATCTCTGCTGCTCCTTCACACTCTCACACTTTCAGTATAAAGAAAAGTATCTTCAAAATCTTAAACTCGTTGGCTTGTCAGCTGACTAATGAGTAAAAATCTGATAGCCGACTATACTGACCATAATTTGCCACAAATCTATATTGTAGCTGGGTATCTTCACTCTGTAACTAGGTACTGTAACACTCTGTATATTCTAGATTTCCAGTAAGCTCTAATGTTTATCTTAGTGAGCTTTTAGCCAAAATCCTGCCTTCAACTTCAGCAGTTGTTGACGTATGTTACTTTGCAGAGCGAGTAAAACCAGAGACCCTCCCCTAGGTCTAATATTATTGGCTTATAAAGTAAGAGGTCTGATACGATTGGCCGAGCCAGGGCTTCCACTTTTTGTTATGTTAGTAAATCTCTGGTAGGTAGACTGTATGATACTTTTACAGAGCTATTGTGGAAAGTGTGTTGATCTCCATATGTGTCTGGTATGGTAGTATAATAGAGTATGAGAGAGAGTAACTAGAGAAAGTGGTGTGTACTGCCTCTAAAATCACTGGTTCAGAACTTCCATCTCTCTTATGCAGATAGCTCACACCCAGTGCAGCGCCTTTTTAAACAGCTCCCTCCGGGTAAAAGGTTTCAAAGCATCTTATGTAGAACATCTCAGTTCAGTAATAGTACCTACCCTTCTGCTACTTTTGAACTCCACAATATTAACCTTGTTTATTTAATGTCAATGTTTGTTATTTTATTGACTTTATGTATGTTTTGTGTATGAGTGTATACTGTCTGTGTGTTTCAGCAGCACTGAAAGAAATTACTCTTAGTCAGGTACCGGCTAATGTGGAAATAAAGTATTGAAACTTGAAATGTGTAGCGCAGCATAGGCAGCACTGCAGCAAAACAGCAGCAGCAGTGCCTCCCCTAGGTTGCACCCTGCTATAACAGTATAATACTAACTCCCCAACCCCCCCAACCCAAAAAAAATGGCCTAGCAACACCCTTAGTAGTTAAGAAAATTATTTTATTTAAATAAATAAACAAATAAATACCAAAAAAACAAACATAAAATAAATTATTACATAAAAATGAAAAATGTAAAAATGACTACTGGAGTGATAGTAAGTGGAATTTTGCTGAGAGTGAAAAAGAATCAGGGCTAATATTGCTAGAGGTGATTCACAGACAGACTCTGTCAAAGAGTTCTTACCTTGAGCCCTGTAGAATTTGACCACTAGTACGATGGTCACCAGCAGATATGAAGACACTGCCATTAAACAGCTGAGCAGACAGAGCACTGAGAATGAAGCTCCTGAACTAGACACACCTGAAACACACACACACACACACACACACATACCCATAAATAGTATAAGAAAGTACTCTAGGATTGCTCTGAGATTCCTCACAGTAGGATGCCTACAGATCCTGAATTTCACATGAATAATGAAAGGTTTCAATAAGACAACAAAACAGCATACAGCACTAATAATAATGCTATATTAATGTAATAATCATATATTATAAAACAATGTTAATATTTTGCTTTTGTATCTTTTATATAACATAGTGGATTTACAAAAACCTCTGCCTTCATATATTACTAATATAAATTATGGAGATTCAGTGTGTACTGGACCTGGTCTCTCGACTTAGAGATCAAAAGTGAGCACATTTCAAAGGATGCTTTTTAAAAGAGTGTTTTGTAAATGAGATGTGTGAGCACGAAGAGCCTTTTTTCAAGTTTAACCTCCACATAACATAAAGGTTCCATATCAACAGAGAGTAAGAGGAGAAGGACGAGCAGCAGCAGTAAGGACTGGTGAGCTGAGGAGCTCGCAAGAGAGAGAGAGAAAAAATACTGAAAAATCTAGGCAGCTGCCAACTTTGAGTTTTGGTTTTGTGCTATAACCAGAGGGTGGGTTGCACAAACAGAGATCAAGCTTAAGCTTGGATTAAATCAAGGTTTATCTGTGAATTTTAGTTGCACCAAACTTTGAACCTAGTTGAAAATAATAAGTTAGATTTGCTGTTTCATTATTTTAAATTTTGTTTGGAGATCTAATTTAAGCTCTCTCACTCTGTATCCCACACATTTGCCCAAAAGGGGGGCAAATAGCACTCAAGTAGCTTTAGTGTATAATTGAAATAGGAGAAAAATAGACACCACACAGGATCTCATGTATATTTGCCAATATAAATTGTGTGCATGTGGTGGAAACAGCTGAAGACAGACTAAAAATTCTCCAGGTAAGATAGCTAAACTAGATGATCAGGGATGAACTTGGCAGAGAGCTAACAGGCCAACAGGCTGCTCTAAGAATATTTAGAGTTATTCTTTAGATTTGAGTTATATTGGAGCATTAACTGTAAAACTGAAACTTAGAGAGTAACAGACAGTGAGAACAGAGTGTTTATATGTAAAATATTTTATTCAAATTACCAACAGGTTTTGTGTAACATTATAATTTAGTCTTCTCAGCAGGGCTGACTAAACAGCTCCTCCTGACACTGAGACTGTGGGTCTAATAATGGACTGTTTATTAAATGTCTGTATTTCCTCTCTGATTGTGAGTGCTGGTTTTAATGTAGCTCTATGCTGGTTTTCACTCAAAAGTACAGATAATGATCAGTTTGGAGAGAAATGTTGTTGCTGTTTATTTATATAGCTGAATCCATCATGGCGGACAATCAGAATGAATGGCAGGTCACAGCATTAATCACAGATTAAGACTTTAATCCAGATTTGTTAATCCACGTTTAATATTTCACAACTTGATTTAAAATAAAATCTAGATTAACAAATTAGATTAGCTCTAATTTAATTTAATCTTTGTTGGTACAACTCACCCTTACTGTACTTACTTTAAAACAGAATAAGAACAGAAATATCTGAATATCTGAATTCACAGCTGCTATGTATCCATTTGTAACAACATTTTAGGATATAGCGAGTTTTTAAAAAGAACAACAGCGAATGTGAATGGAAACCATTTTTATTCCTCTAATAAAAGTAGTATTAATCATGATATAGCTTTGATATTTTTTATAGGTGTAAAGTCCACTCCCAACAACATGTATCATGAAAAAAAAGTGATTTTCAAAAGTGGAGCCAGAAACTGGTCTGCAGAGGAGACTAAGTTTAAGCTTCAAACTTTAGAAGACTGCATCCAGAGGTTTCCGGTTCTCGGCGGTGGTACTGGCATCCAGTTCATGTGTCTCAGAATGTTGCAGGACATGACGTCTTCATGTGATGTTATGTGACATTTAATTTTGCTGAGTCTGCCAAAATTTTAAAGCAATTCAAAACAAAAGCACGCCGACTGAAAACTCAGTTAACATAATGCTGTGTCTCACTCTGATTGGAGTCACGTGATGCTCGTTGTCATGGTAAAGATTAGTGAGATAATAGTTAACATCCATTACTTCAGTTCAGTCCATATCTAACATCCACAGCTCCAGTTCAGTGAAATCATATCTAACATCCACAGCTCCAGTTCAGTGAGACCACAGTTAACATCCACAGCTCCAGTTCAGTGAGACTATAACTAACATCCACAGCTCCAGGTCAGTGAATTCATAAGTAACATCCACAGCTCCAGTTCAGTGAGATCATAAGTAACATCCACAGCTCCAGTTCAGTGAATTCATAAGTAACATCCACAGCTCCAGTTCAGTGAGACCATAACTAACATCCACAGCTCCAGTTCAGTGAATTCATAACTAACATCCACAGCTCCAGTTCAGTGAGATCATAACTAACATCCACAGCTCCAGGTCAGTGAGACCACAGTTAACATCCACAGCTCCAGTTCAGTGAGACCATAACTAACATCCACAGCTCCAGTTCAGTGAAATCATAACTAACATCCACAGCTCTAGTTCAGTGGAGCCATAAGTAACAACTACAGCTCCAGTTCAGTGAGATCATAACTAACACCCACAGCTCCAGTTCAGTGAAGCCATGAGTAACATCTACAGCTCCACTTCAGTGAAGTCATAACTAACATCCACAGCTCCAGTTCAGTGAAGCCATAACTAACATCCACAGCTCCATTTCAGTGAGATCATAACTAACATCCACAGCTCCAGTTCAGTGAGATCATAACTAACATCCACAGCTCCAGTTCAGTGAAGCTATAATTAACATCCACAGCTCCAGTTCAGTGAAGCCATAACTAACATCCACAGCTCCATTTCAGTGAGATCATAACTAACACCCACAGCTCCAGTTCAGTGAAGCCATAACTAACATCCACAGCTCCAGTTCAGTGAAGCTATAATTAACATCCACAGCTCCAGTTCAGTGAAGCCATAACTAACATCCACAGCTCCATTTCAGTGAGATCATAACTAACATCCACAGCTCCATTTCAGTGAGATCATAACTAACACCCACAGCTCCAGTTCAGTGAAGCCATAACTAACATCCACAGCTCCAGTTCAGTGAAGCTATAATTAACATCCACAGCTCCAGTTCAGTGAGATCATAACTAACATCCACAGCTCCAGTTCAGTGAAGCCATAAGTAACATCTACAGCTCCAGTTCAGTGAGATCATAACTAACATCCACAGCTCCAGTTCAGTGAAGCCATAAGTAACATCCACAGCTCCAGTTCAGTGAGATCATAACTAACATCCACAGCTCCAGTTCAGTGAAGCCATAAGTAACATCTATAGCTCCAGTTCAGTGAAGCCATACGTAACATTCACAGCTCCAGTTCAGTGAAGCCATAAGTAACATCTACAGCTCCAGTTCAGTGAGACCATAACTAACACCCATAGCTCCAGTTCAGTGAAGCCATAACTAACATCCACAGCTCCACTTCAGTGAAGCCAAAAATAAGATCTACATCTCCAGTTCAGTGAGACCATAACTAACATCTACAGCACCAGTTCAGTGAAGCCATAAGTAACATCTACAGCTCCAGTTCAGTGAAGCCATAACTGACATCCACAACTCCAGTTCAGTGAGATCATAACTAACATCCACAGCTCCAGTTCAGTGAGATCATAACTAACATCCACAGCTCCAGTTCAGTGAGAACATATCTAACACCCACAGCTAAAGTTCAGTGAGATCATAACTAACATCCACAGCTCCAGTTCAGTGAGAACATAACTAACATCCACAGCTCCAGTTCAGTGAAGCCATAAGTAACATCCACAGCTCCACTTCAGTGAAGCCATAAGTAATATCTACAGCTCCAGTTCAGCGAGACCATAACTAACATCCACAGCTCCAGTTCAGTGAGACCACAGTTAACATCCACAGCTCCAGTTCAGTGAGATCATAACTAACATCCACAGCTCCAGTTCAGTGAGACCATAACTAACATTCACAGCTCCAATTCAGTGAGACCATGACTAACATTCACAGCTCCAGTTCAGTGAGACCATAACTAACATCCACAGCTCCAGTTCAGTGAGACCATAACTAACATCCACAGCTCCAATTCAGTGAAGCCATAACTAACATCCACAGCTCCAGTTCAGTGAGACCATAACTAACATCCACAGCTCCAATTCAGTGAGACCATAACTAACATCCACAGCTCCAGTTCAGTGAAGCCATAAGTAACATCTACAGCTCCAGTTCAGTGAGAACATATCTAACACCCACAGCTCCAGTTCAGTGAGATCATAACTAACATCCACTAACACTAACACACAACCACCACGTCAGTGTCACTGCAGTGCTGAGGATGATCCACCACCCACATAATACCTGCTCTGTGGTGGTCCTGTGGGGGTCTTGACCATTGAAAAACAGGGCAAAAGGCGGGCTAACAAAGTACACAGAAAAACAGATGGACTACAGTCTGTAATTGTAGGAGCAGAGAGTGCACCTAGTCAGTGAAGTTACCAAAATGGGCAAAGATAGTAGAAACAAAGAGGTGGGTTTAATGAAGTGGCTGGTCAGTGTATATATTCAAACATACATACATATATATATATATATATATATATATATATATATATATATATATATATATTTCTTCACAAGCCATCTATAGTGCACTGTTAGAAGAAAGATTCTAAAACTATTTAAAATTCAAAACAACAAAAATGGTGCAGTGAATTAGAGAAATGGTCTTTTTCACTATATGGTAAATAAAGCCTTTTGTATGGCAAGGTGGAAAAACCTTGGTTATGAGTCAGGGCTTGATTTAAGGGGTCAGAAGGTTCTTTCTTGCCTGATTGGTTAAATGCAATGCGGCAGCCATATTCATTTGCATAAAGTTGAAATCTGCTGAATGTTTTGTGGCAAGGCAGATTTTGCCACATTGCAAACCATTATACACCATGCAGTGCGGCAGAGCTCTCCAATGAAATGAATAGGATGTGTCGAGGCAAAGTTTTTAAGTGAATGTGTGCTGTTTTACTCACTAGTCGTGTTTATCCAGAGTGCATGACTGTAGTTAGTGTAGTAGTCTGGGTTTCCTCTCCCAGCTCTGCACCAGTACTGTCCTCCATCAGAGACACTGACTGAGCTGATGCTGTAGGAGTGTGTTTCAGTCTTGATCTCATTCTCAGGGTTCTGTGTGTGTTTGGACCAGTAAAACCTCCATCCAGCAGACTGATCCAGCTCACAGTACAGAACCACTGGATTTCCTATCAGTGCAGCTCCTTTATGGCTTGATGTGAGTTCAGGTTTAGGTTTTTCTGCTGTTGGAGATGAAGCACACAGTTCAGACCATGAAGAGTTCACACACTGATCTCAGAGTCTTTATCACAGTACTTACTCACCTTCAATAGAGGGACCCACTCTGTACTGTGATGACAGTGGCCCCAGCTAAACATTCAGCAAAACTCACACTGACCTACATGTGCGTGTAACCTCTCCTACAAGACTGAAATCTTAATCTCGTATTAAGATAACTCACATATTAGACCTTCAGACCCTTGTTTCAGCCATTGGTATAAGGAAACAGAGCACAGCAGACCAAAAGACAAGTCCTACAAAAGCCCCAGAATTAAATAACCACAGGCTCATTATGAGATATAATATACTGTAAATGCAACTGCTTTGTCTGCGCACAAATCATAAAGAAATCTCAGTTATTTGAGATGTTCTCCAACTGTTAAAACTTAATGAAAATGTCTGAAAACTTAAAAATTCCTAATGCTGAATTACTATATAATTTCAAATTGTCCCACAGGAGAAAGAAGAAAAATTCCCACCTTCCTTATTTATTATTGCTATATCCATCAAACTTTCAGTACAGGCCACCTGGTGGTATCCATAGCCAGTGTTACAGGTAACATATTACAAAGTAACACATTATAGTAATATGATTGCTTTTTTCTTATAACAAAGTAGTGTAACACACTGCAGTTTAAATCCTTGTAATCACATTACAGTTACTGACTTAGTCTGTACTCACACATCTTTAAAAGTACAAGATACAGTATACTACGCCCAAAGCTTTTAAATTATACATTGTCTCTGTATTCATTATCTGTGCTTGTCCTCGTGTGCAATGTGCATGCATGCTAGATGCATCAGCTGAGTGGTTGACTTTGACTGTAAATATGAGCAGTACAGTGTGAGTGCAGGAAGTGCCGCAACCTCTACAAACAATCTGTCGATGCTTCTAATCACACTAACATGAACAACAGAGAGCCCATACCTCTCTGAAACAGGCCAGACGTGATTTTCATTCAGAAACAGCTCTGTAAGTTTTACATTTTATTCATAAAGATTTTATTTGGAGGTAGCTAATTTTTAACCATTTCTGTTGGCTGATTTCTCTGTTTTTAAACAGCTTTGACTGTTCAGGATTTTAATCAAGCCTAACTGTTGTGTACAGTCAAAAATGGCTGTAAAATGAATGCACACAAATTTTAACAACCATTTTATTATTCATCAGTTTTATCTTTGGCGTATCTGTATGATCAAACCCACGTCGTGGTAGAAATGTGTGTAAATTTGAGTATAATAGTTTAACAGCCTGCAAACAATGCTTGCTTGATGTTAACTAACCAAAACTATTAGCAACATCATCTATAATACTGACCACAAGAATTAAAATAGAAAATAACAATAATACTAATAATTTGTGCACATGGCAACCCAGAACAAAAGTGATGTACTTATTTTACATTAATATTGGTAAAACGGTAACACTTTCTACGAATGTCACCTTTGTAAGTATCTATAAACACATTTATAACATGTTATAATGCATTCATATGGCATTATAAACATGATTATACACATTTATAAACAAATGAATTACACTTTATAGCCATGTTTATTATACATTATGAATTGTTAATATAATGCATTATAAATAGTGTGAATAACATGTTATAATGTCAGTGCCAAAGAAGTCAGTCCAGAGCGTAAAGACAAATACCAAGCTAATGGTGGTGTACACTGACTTTCCCACATGGAGTAAAACACTGATGGCAGCACTAGTTTAATATCTGACATTTGAAGCCTGTAATGTGCTGTACTTTGTGCGTTGAAGTGTTTCAGTAAATCCTTCAGTAAATACTTCAACATGAAGCCTCACTCTTAACACTGGAGGAGGCTTTAGTACAGTATGCTTCACTTTACTTAGAGCGGACAAATATGACTTATGAGCTCTTATAATTTGTTATGATCAGTACTTATAATGTATTATGTCAACAATTCATAATGCATAATAAGCATGGCTATAACGTGCAATGCATTTTAATAAATATTTATAGCCATGTTTATAATGCCTTATGAATGCATTATAACATGTTATGAATGTGTTTATAGATGCTTACAAAGATGACATTCATAGAAAGTGTTACCGTATAAACAAATACTGCCATTATTACATGTTCCATTTAAGACAAATTACACTGTGCTTTCGTTTTATACTACTGACTCCAACCAAACAATTATAACAGAAGCAATAATACAGCATTTAAATAGTTTATTTTAATAAAATAATCATACTACGCAATCGTATCATTCTATCTTAAAAAAAAACCTTTTTATTCTTTCCAGTCATCGTAATTTTAAGACTGTAAAGTTTGGTCAGTAGAGGGAGCAGTGCACTGACTGCTTGTCCTCAAACTCCACCTACAAGCAAAGCCATGCTGTTGTTTTATAGGCTCCCTACCAAAACATCTGGATGAACTTTATGTATTTATGAGACTGGTATGCTGACGCTTGAGTTCACAAACTAAAGCTGATTCATCATTTGTGCTAAGATTTCATGAATCGGCGCAGAGTAGTTCATACATCGATCATATCTGTGCACTATTTACACAAATTTAATGAATAACGGCCACTTTTTAAATAACAAATGTGAGTACAGTCCTTTTTTCAGGTGTTATACCTGCCGTCGACACCAGAGGTCAGCCTCACTTGAGTATTGATCTGTGTCCTAGTGACACCTTAATGTCTCTCACCTGCAGCTCATTAACCTCCCTTTATAAGGACTTACACAAACACTGAGTGTGTATACATGCACTCAATAATCCGATCATAATTGGATTTCTGCAGCTATCCAATTATTCAAATGGTCATGTAGACACCATACTCCGATCCAGAAATTCGATTAAGAAATCTGATAATGAGAGCTGGATTTTAGCTCAGTAATCAGATTTCTCTGTGCATGTAAACTCTCACTCTGATTTCTATCAGATTTCTGTCTGCGCATGCGCAAGAACAGACGGTGGATGTCGCGGGGTGGCAGCAAAACACTGTTGGAGCTGTGCTGAAACCAAACACGAAATAAAGGATTTGAATATTCTTCATCTTCTAGATGATGTAAAATCATATTTTCAGGTAAAGTGGCGCGATGTTTAAAACAAAGCCGCAGCATGACGTTTGAGTTTTACATTATGTTTACGTTGTGTCGTCTTCTGTCAGTCTATTGGCTGGTTGCAAAGCAGAAATCTGATTATTGTCTGACTCATGTAGACCTGGAGTTTCCCATTATCTGATTACTCAAGTGCATGTAAACGTGTTGATCGGATTACTGACAAAATCTGATTTTCTGCAGTTATAGGATTATTGAGTGCAACCAATCTGATTGGTTTATTAAGGTAATTGTCAGCAGCAAAGTTAAGAAAAGCTAGCTAGTTAATTTAATACTCTGAACATTTTTCTGTAAAGTTTATCAAGATAAAGGTTAGCTTACTTAGAGCCAGAATAAGTCTGTCAGTAGTTTTGACATTGAGCTGAGAGTGTGGACTTTCACACAGATTAATCCAGAACTTTCTCAGCTATAGGAATGAAATAAAAACTTCCTCCTCCAGATGATCAGGTCAAACTGCAGGTTTGCTTTGAGGAGTTCTGTCAATTCTTTCCCTTTGTTTAATGAAGAAGGGAAGGTTTAGTGAGGACTGCAATTTTCTGAGAGGTGTATCAATCACAATCTTGCAAATGGTCAATTAATACTGAAATTCTTATCTGTATTTAGACAAATTAGAACTAGAGGTAAGTCCAGCTGTATTACTTGCATATGCAGAAATATGTTTATGCAATAGCAATGTACTTCTACACTACTGACTACTAATGGTACAAATACAGTGAAATAGATGCTACACTTACCTGATACAGTCAGTGTAACAGCATCACTGGTCTGTGAGTAATGTGGGTCTGTTGACTGTCTTCCACTACATTTATAAGCACCTTCATGAGACTGATCAACTTTAGAAACAGTGTATTCCTTTGTCCCTGGATCAGTTCTGATAGGTTTACTATCCTTAAACCACTCATACTGCCAGTCATCTCCACTTCCTATAATACATGTGAGAGTGACTGTCTTTCCGGTGAACACATGATCAGCTGGTTGTATTTTCACTGTAGCTTTTGGTCTCGCTGTACAAACGTTACAAATACTTCAGAAACGATGCGAGTTTTGAAAATAATTAAGGACTAATGATGAGTAACTATCACAAATTCTGTCCTTCTGAAGTCAAAACATTATTAATGAGAAAACAGAAAACATACGTACCTCTAACTGTAACCTTGACTGGATCACTGAGCTGTATGTAACAGCCGTAGCGGTAGTAACTGTAGTTGTAGTCATAGTATTTGTACGAGACTCAGAATGCTGCAGATACAGACACCAACACAATCAGTGTAACAGTGTCTGATGAAGGAACAGCAGAGTTTAAATGTAGAGCGTGCAGAGGAAACTACAGCACACAGACCAGTGAACCAGTCAAGATCACAGTTAGAAGTGCGTCTGTATTTTCTATGTTCTGTTTATTACAGATTTGACTTTAGATTGACTGATGTGGTGGTCGATGGGGCAATTAAATTCTTTATTATTCTATAGTCATTTTCAAAACTCACATGCATCTTCTTGTTGGATATTTAATTGTCAAAAGTGTCTAAATTATTTATCGTGTTTGTACAGCGAGACCAAAAGCTACAGTGAATGTACAACCAGCTGATCATGTGTTCATCGGAGAGACAGTCACCCTCACTTGTGATATAGAAAGTGGAGGTGGCTGGTATTACCATTGGTATAAAGAAAATTACTTTCTCAGTGAAGCTCAGTGGTGGAATGAATACACGATTTCTAATGTTGCTCAGTCTCATAAAATGTGAAGAGGAGAATAGATTTTGTAAGTTATCAGCTCAAGCTGCTGCGCACCAGCAGAGGACGATAGCAGTGATGTGCCACCAGCCCAGGAGACTTCAATTCCCAGAAGCACACGGGCTGATT